TATTTCTTTTAATGCCCAAGCTATAATTTCTGTAAAGGATATACTTATGAAGCATTTCCCAAAGTATTTAACCATGGAATACTAAGCAAGGAACACCTAATTAACATTTATTTGAACTAGTATTTTCTAAAACAGTTTGGGAATTCTGGCTTAGTCTGCATCAAAATTAAAAAAAAAAAAGATTATGTGATTAAAATAGATATAATACTTAATCGTATGCACAGTAATTACAAATCTAAAACATTGACAGGAAAACAGTACACTGAGTATGTTAACTGTATTTGGATAGTAAGAGTCAAGACTTTTTTTTCTTTTTCCTACACTAAATTTAAAAAAATAAACATTTTTTATGATAAAAAGCTTTTGAAAAGTATTATCTAAATTATTCTGCCCTTTCACATTAATTCTGTTCTTCTCAACATAATCACCATATTTCATCAAACCTAAAAAGCTACTGTAAGATGCCACTAATCATAAAATCAGGTGAAGCTGGTTTTAGAAAATACATGAATTTAGACTACATCTGAATCATTAAAACACACAAATAAAAGATTACTTCAGAGATTCCTATCATTTCTAAATGACTTCCCTTTACCTCAGCAATCTCTACAGTAGTCTTCCCCACTGATTTTGAAATTGCCAGTACTTTTTAAAAATTAACAAATCCCCTACCCTGGGCTCTCGATGTTAGGAACCAAACATAAAACTATTGCTTTGAAATAGAAGTTTTAACTGCAGACTTTCATTTTTACTTTATAGTATAGAGAACTCCACAAAAATTTGGAAGTGATTCTCTTTCTCAAAATATCTGATTTCACTGTTTCAGAATTGCAATTAGGTAAAAATTTATATTCTCCTTAGACACTCTAAGTATTGTATTTCATCATATATAAGATACCATCAATTGTAAAATGACTCCAATCATAAGATGCTGCATTATTTTGGGTACCATTAAGGAAAAAAACCATGGCTGATTTAACTGACCTAATGTTCTCTTACACTTAGTCACATCCTGTATTATGTATTGAAATACCTGTTTTGAATTTAGCCCTATTTTTATCTTATATCACTCTTGTGTTTCCATGAATTTCTTTTTTGAAAACTGAAGTATAGTTAATTTACAATGTTGTGTTAGTTTCAAGTATATAGCAAAGTGATTGTTTTATATATATATTTCCTTTTTCAGAGTCTTTACAGTACAGGTTATTACAAGACACTGAGTATATTTCCCTGTGCTATATAGTAGGTCCTTATTTACATATTTTATATATAGTAGTGTATATATGTTAATCCCAAACTCCTAATTTATTTCTTCCATGTATTTCTGCAAATACAGTAACTTTTTATTTAAGTGCTAAATGATCTTTTAAAGGATACTTAAGAGATTAAACTCAACAACTATGCACCAACAGTACACACAACTCAACTGAACTAATGACAATATTATCAGTTATAACCAAGTTTGCGTAAGCTGGGCAGTGACAACGATGTCACAGCTGCTATTCAGTGTATAATGAGTTTAAAACTTTGAATACCCCACTATTTCAGAGCTATAAATATGAGAAAAATATGCCTCTCAGAACTAGTGAACTACAGTAATTTTAATCACTTTTTTCTCTCTTCTACCACCACCCCTATTCTTACCTTCCAAACTTCTTTCCTCCATTTGTTTTGTAATCTAATCACCAAGCTACCCCACTCTAAGAACACCTTTATTACAGTTCTACACAATGCAGCTCTAGGTTAAAACTCCTGCTAGGATTTAAAACGTGTCAAAAGTCAGAATTTTTAAACAGGTAAATTAAAAAATTAAACATTTTGAGAAATATTTGTCAAAACACAGAAAGATATAAAACTATGCTTTTTGTGAAAGTTTTTATTCTTTTTGTTTTTCTTCTAAGCATGTGATCAGGGAATGAATTCAAATGCCAGCTATGCCACTCATTAGCTGTGTGACTTTCTTTTTTTTTAATATTGAAGTATAGTTAATTTACAATGTTGTGTTAGTTTCAGGTGTGCAGCAAAGTAATTCATATATACATACTTTTCCAGATTCTTTTCCCATATAGGTTGTTACAAAATATTGAGTATAGTTCCCCATGCTATACAGTAGGTCCTTGTTATTTATCTGTTTTATATATAGTAGTGTGTATAAGTTACTCCCAAATTCCTAATTTACCCCCCCACATACATATCCCCTTTGGTAACCATAAGTTTGTTTTCTATGTCTGAGTCTGTTTCTGTTTTGTAAATAAGTTCATTTTTAGATTCCACATATAAGTGATATCATATACTTGTCTTTCTCTGTCTGACTTCATTTCATATGATAATCTCTAGGTCTATCCATGTTACTACAAATGGCATTATTTCATTCTTTTTATGGCTGAGTAATATTCCATTGTGTGTGTGTGTATGTATATATATACACCACATTTTCTCTATCCATTCATCTCTTGATGGATATTTAAGTTGCTTCCATGTGTTGCCTATTGTAAATAATGCTTCAGTGAACACCGGGGTGCATGTATCTTTTTGAATTATAGTTTTCTCCACATATATTCCCAGAAGTAGGACTGCAGGATCATACTGTAGCTCTATTTTTAGTTTTTTAAGGAACCTCCATACTGTTCTCCATAGCGGCTGTACCAATTTACATTCCCACCAACAGTGCAAGAGGGTTCCCTTTCCTCCACACCCTCTCCAGCATTTATTATTTGTAGACTTTTTGATGATGGCCATTCGAACTAGTGTGAGGTGATACCTCACTGTAGTTTTTATTTGCATTTCTCTAATAATTAGCGACACTGAGCATCTTTTCATGTGTCTCTCAGCCATCTGCATGTCTTCTTTGGAGAAATGTCTATTTAGATCTTCTGCCCATTTTTTGATTGGGTTGCAAGATGAACACTACAATAGTCCAGTTAACATCCTTTACCATGCATAGTTACAATTTTTTTCTTGTGATGAGAACCATCAAGATCCAGTCTCCTAGCTATTTTCTAATATGCAAAACAGTATTATTAACTATAGTCACCATGCCGTACATTACATCCCCATGACTTATTCATTTTATTTGTATTTATGCTTGATTGTTTTTCTCTACTCACCAGAGAGACTTCTTCCCGTTTACTAATGAGGACACTGGGGATCCTGGAGGGCTTAAGGGATGGCTATGAGGGTATGGCTAAGAGAAGACAGTCCATGTGTTTCAGATACTACGGACATTAACACAGAAAACCTTTTTGTCCAGTGACATATGCATAAAATTTTAAAAGGGGTATGTCTAGGTCTCCCATGGCCCACTTACCAAACAAGGTCATGTTTTAGCGGGCTCAGATTTTCCCCAATAGGATTTAACCAAACCTTTCCACTCACAGATGTACTCACCACTATCTTTCTTCCATTTCTTAACCAAAAACACAGTTAATAACAGTAGCCACTACTTTAATGGGCCTGGCACATTACATACATTGTCATTTAATCTTTATAACCTTGTGAGACAATAAGGTTATAGAAAAACTCAGAGAAATTATGTGACTTGTCTAAATCCATTCAAATATTAAATGGTAAAGCCAGGATTTTAACTCGTGTTTGTTACTCCTAACCTCACACTACAAGTCATTTTAAAAGTGTTTCCAAAACCTAATTAAAGAAAATTAACTGGCCATCCGTTAAAATTCTTGCATACCTAAATTAAGAGCACTAAGAATCTGACTGGTCATTTCTTACCACCCCTAGTCAAGCCACTATCATATCTCCTCTGGATTTATGTAAAAGCCTCCTAACTGGTGTTTCTTCCACCTTATTCCCTCCAGTCTATTCTTGAGAGCAGCCAGAGAGATTCTTTTAAAAAGGAAGTAAGTACTCCACTGCTCAAAACCCTCCAATGGGTTAGACGCCCTCAAGATCCTTCATGATCTATTCCGGATCTCTCTTTCTCCAGCTTTAGTTGCTTCACTCAACTCCGACCTACAGGCTTCCTTGCTGTTCAGGAGAGTTCCTGCCTGATGGCTTTTGCAATGTCTGGTCCGTCTGCCTGACTGCACCTCCCCAAAACAGCCTAACGATTTACTCTCTTGCTTCTGTCAGCTCTTTACTGAAGAGTGATCTTTTCAGTGAGACCTTCCTTGGCCATCCTAAAATTTCAACCTATGTCCTCCTTCCCGGCTTCACTATTTTTGTTTTCAGCAGTCATTACGACCTAAGATACGGTATGCTTTTCTTAACTTTGTTTAGTATGTAAGTTCAATAAAATGTGAACTACAGGGAGACAGGAATTTTTGTCTGTTTTGTTCATTGCTTTTTACCGATGCCTAAAACAGTGTTTAGAACATGGTGGGCGCTGAATAACTACTTGCGGAATAAACGAATTCCTGTCACCACCTCCCGGTTCTCTCACACATGCAAAAATAAACATGTTTGTGCATATATCTTTTCCAGTTACATCCTACCCCTCGGCCCCGCATCCCATTTCTCAAACTTGGCTCCTTCAAAAGGTCCCAAGCTGTTCCCTACTTCCTCATGCCAAGATTGGCGCTGCTGTGGGCCGACTTCCCCGCAGGCCAGGTCCTATTATCCGAAGGCCACTAAGGGACAGGGGACTCTTATGTTCGCAATCCCCGTACCCCGGGACCCTCTGCGGACGACACTCACATGTATCGGTGAACAGGCTGAACCTCGGCCGTCTCGGCCCGGAGCCGGTAAGGACAGCCTCCCGCTCACGAAGGCAGCGAGAAAGGACCCAATGAGTTGTCCTCGCTAAACGCCTGAGCGGTCCACAGATTCTTCTTCAAATTCAGTGGCCCCCTTCCCGTGCGCAGCCACACCACACTCCCCGTCGCCCATTCCTTCAGCCAATAACGCCAACCATTCCGCACCTCTTCCTCGGTCTCTGTATTTTGTCGCCAGGTTGGGCGAGGGGCAAGACGCCGGACGTCGGGATCTTTCTTTAGAGTTCCGTCGCGTACGCTGTGAGGTCAGAGGAAAAGGCCGAGCTGAGGGTGGCCGTGGGGAGAGCTGGGAGCTGTCAGCGGAGAGCGCGGGGGTCGCTCTCCTGGCCGGAGGCGAGGCAGGCAACTCCGGCTGATTTAAGCTGGCGGGCAAAGGGCAATCTCTGAGCTCGCGGCGCTCCAGGAGCAGCCTCTTGTAGAAGCACCTGAAATGCAGGGTCTGGTGCCCTAAGCAATAGCGGCAACACCAGCTCCAGCGACAGCTCTGGGGCCCTGTGTAGGAGCTCCATCCCCTTGTCTTTGTGTCCGCCTGCGTCCCCAGACCCAGAGGCAGGTATTTGGGTTTCCCAGTTTTCTGTATCGTAGTGGTCGGGGCTGGTGGGAGGTAGAGGAAGGTGAGGTGCAGCGAGCGGCCTCGCATTTCCGCCGTGAGTGATAGAGACCACCGGTGCAGCTGCTGGCTGCTGAGTACCGTCTCCATCCCTAGCTACAGCCCGCCTTCCCCCTACACACCTGAGTCCTTTGAGGACTGCAGGCGGCTCTTAGAAAGGATCTTCCACCTGACTGTTTCAGAGAATTTGGAATCGGCTCTCCCGTTGCTCAACATAGATTAAACTCTTGCTTTGGTTTGTTTCTTGTTTTCAAAGGCTTAGTCAGTTGTCGAGATGTGGCATTCACTTGTGCAGTGAAAGAATGTGAACGAGTGGAAGTTTCTTTAGAATTGTTAGTGGTTGCTTTTCAAGGCCTCTTGTCCCTGTTTTTATTTGGGACAGAAAGACAACTTTTTGCGGGAAAGTACATAAAATAAATGAAACACATTGAAGAAATGTGTAAATTGTTTTATTCGTAACGAAATATGCATCTTTTGCCCTATTTTTTTACCTTTTTCCCTTTGTGATGCATTTCCACTTAAAGTTCTTTGAGGGCGGATATTGTGTCCTGTTCACTGGTGGCCCCGAAGCTGGAAAAACACCTGACTTAAAATACGAGCTTCAGGATATTTGTTGAATGAATGAATTTTCAAACCCAACTCCTTATGTTGTTTTTTTTTCCTCAACTAATCTCTCACCTCAGCTGTTTTTTCCACTGGCTTTCTTCCACTCACCAAGTGGAAAAAAATCTATGTCTGTGTATTTGTTATGTGTGAACCTTTTTATGTGCACCCATCTAAGAGGTAGTTGAAGCAGAACACTGATGAAATGTTTAACGCCAGCTACGGTTTTATCGTTTTGAATTATTTGCATTTTCTTTATTTGGTTATTTGATTTTTAGTTGTCTAAGTGACAGAAGTATCTAATGGAAGATCAAATAGCATAGTATAAAAGGACTGCCTAATAAAATGCAACAGCTCAGGCTCTTCCTTCCTACCCTCAGTTCTGTTACTTCAGAGATAATCATTTTTAACCTTTTCTAATTTTAGGTCTGTATGTTGAACAAGTTAAACTGCTAATTCTTTTTATTTTAATTGACTTCTTAAGATAGGCCACAACATCCACAACCTCTCTACCGCAATTTTTTGTTTGTTTTTTAATAATTTTTATTGAAATACAGTTGATTTACAATGTTGTGGGTTTTTTGTTGTTTTTTTTTTTTGACTGCATTGGGTTTTCGTTGCTGTGCGTGGGCTTCTCATTGCCATGGCTTCTCTTGTTGGGGAGCACGGGCTCTAGGTGCGTGGGCTCAGTAGTTGTTGCACACGGGCTCTAGAACGCAGGCTCAGTAGTTGTGGCGCACAGGCTTAGTTGCTCCACGGCATGTGGGCTCTTCCCGAACCAGTGCTCCAACCCGTGTCCCTGCACTGGCAGGTGGATTCTTAACCACTGTGCCACCAGGGAAGCCCTCTTCTACAAATTTTTGAATCGTTATCACAATTTTTAGTTTTCATATTGGTTAATTTTAGAATTCTAAGTAATATATTTAAACTTAATTTTTTTCATATGAACTTTTGAAAATACTTATATTTGGCTCCTTATTTTGTAAAATGAGGGAAGTAGAGACTCTACCTTCCCTTACCGCCACAGAAACTGCATCCATTCCCACCTTTCCTTAGGTGGACCTTTACTTGTACGTTGTCAAGGTTATTAATAGTTACAGTATATTTCTTAACTGCAGTTGTTTTTTGCTTTGTTTATGTGTTTAAAAACTAGTAAAATGTTACAATATTATAGCTTTGTAAATAATCTTCAGTGCTGAGCCAAGACGTATGCTATTATACATTTCCTTCCCAATGTTTTAATTTCATGACCTTTGTACCACTCTAACAAGAAGATTTGTAATATTAACATCCAACTGATTACTCTTTCTTCCTCTCCAATAACAACAATTATGCCATAGTTAAATGTGCTTAATTTTTTGGATTATATACTTCTTATGTAGCTTTTGGCTCTCCTCACTTTCACAGAGTACTTTGCACTTTCTTTGAGGGAAAAGATGCATGTGCTTTATTCACCACATCCTCTCATTCTTTGTATGAGAACCTCCCTTACTCTGCTTGAAGACATTCCCCTTGGAGCCCAATTACCTTCTGTTTAATTGGAACAGATTACTTTCTAGTCCTTTGGTGCAGCTTCTATACTGGATTATAGTCATTGAATTCTTGAGTAAGATACATTGTTTCTTAACTCCATGTCTTTTATTATTTGGTTTTCTCCTCTGTTTTGTTAGAATACATCCTAAAGAAACTTGTTCATGAAGGTATGTGGATGGTGATTCTATTTTTTAATGTTTGCATAGTTGTAAATTATTATTTTGCTATTATTAATGATAGTTTGGCTGGGTAAAGAAACAAAATTATGTTTCTTCCAACTTTTCAAGGCTTCACCATCTTCTAACTTCTGTTGTTGCTCATGAGAATGAGTGTCTGATCTTGATGTGTTGATGCCTGAACTATTTGTTTTCTCTCTGAAATGACTTAAATTTTTAGTTATGCTTGATGCTTTGAAAATTTGTCATGGCATGTCTTGGTCTGAGTTTATTCTCCTTGCAGTTAACTCATTCGATGGAGCTAGGATAAATGTCTCCATTTCGGTCTTTTTTCATTTATTCTCCTTGAAATTAGAAGCCTTTTTAATTTGAAGGTACATATTTCCCTTCAATTGTGGGGAATTTTCTCCCATCTTTTGTAATTTATTCTCCTTTATTTTTCCCTGTTCCCTTTTTTGAAATGCCTATAAGGTGGTTGTTGAATTCTTGGGTTGATTCACTATGTGTGTTAACTTTTCTGTTATGCTTTTTTTTTATCTATTTGCCCATTTGCTTCATGTTCTGAGTAACTGTCTCAATTTTATTTTCTAACACTTCTATCTAGTTTGGTAATCATATGTTTAAGTACCAAGCACTAACTTTTAAAATTATTATTTTCTCATATTCTCTTAATTTTGTTTCATTTTCTTTTTTTAAATGAGATGAAATTTACATATATTAGAGTACACTGATTTTAAGTGATCAGTTTGAGGAGTTTTGATACATGTGAACAAAAGTGACAAACACCACCCGAATCAAGATGTGAAACATTTGGACTACTCCAGAAAGTTCCTATGTTTCCCTCTCCAATCCTGTCCCCGCCCCCCACACACACCCAGCCAAGGCACTACAATTCTCTTTTTTATCACTGTAGTTTAGAACTGTAGTTCTAGAACTACATTTAAATGGAGCCATAGGATATATACACTCTTATGTGTCTACTGCTTTCATCAACATAATATTTTTGAGATACATCCATATTTTGGCATGGTTGTTCCTTTTTTGTTGCTTTTGAATAGCATTTCATTGGTTGAATATGCTACAACTTGTTTATCAGTTCACTTGTATGATGTTTACATTGCTTCCAGTTTGGGGCTGTTATGAGTAAAACTTCTGTGAACATTCTTGTACAAGTATTTTTATGGACAAATATTTTAAGTTTTCTCGGGTAAGTACCGAGTAGGAGTGGAATTTCTGAGCCATAAGGGGTATTTTTAACTTTAGGACAGTTTTCCAAACAGTTTTTCAAAGTTCTTGTGTCATTTTAACACTACCATCAGCTGCAGAGTATCAGCTCCAGTTCCACATTTTTCTCAACACTTGATATTGCCAGTCATTCCAATTTTAGCCATTCTGGTAGGTGTGAAATGGTATATTGTTGTGCTTTTAATTTGCACTTCCCTGCTGATTAATTATATTGAGAACTTTTTCATGTGCTTATTGTCTATTTGTATTCCTTCTTTGTGAAAAATACATGTTTCAGACTTTTACCTATTTTTGTTTTTCTTTTTATTATTGAGTTGTAGGCATTCTTTATATATTCTAAGTCTATTATCATATATACAAACATACATATAATACATATACATCTATTTGATAAAAATGTTATATATAGATATAAATAATACTTTTCTTAACTTTGGCTTGGATTTTTATTTTCTCAAATGTGATTTTTGATGTGCAATGTTTTTAATTTTGATGAAGCTCACTTTATAAAGTTAGTTTTTTATGGCTTTTTTTTATCCTGCTTCAGAAATCTTTGCCTATCCTAAGGTTGCAAAAATATTCTGTGTTTTTTTTTGGGTTTTTTTTGTAGAAGACTTACAGTTTTAGCTTTTACAATTAGGTCTATAATCCATATCAGATTTTTGTGGATGTAGCAGTAGGAGTTGAGGTTAATTTTTTCCCATGTGGTTGTCTTGTTTTAGCACCATTCGTTAAAAAGACTGTCCTTTTCCTATTGAATTCATTGGCCTTTGTTGAAAATCAATTCATTGTATTTAAAAATATTTTTCATTTTAAAATTTAAAATTTTTATGAAATATATTGTATATAGCACATATATATAAATAGATAGAGATATAGAATATGGGAATTATGGAGCATAATAATAATATGAACACCTTAACCCACCAATTAAGAATAAGAATATTACTCAAAATTTTTGAAGCTTCTTATGGGTTATTCCCTAATCTTATGACTGTTTTTCATATAGTGGTAACACTAGCCTCAGGTTTTTTTTTTAATTCCTTTAAGTTTTGAATATATTCTTACCTCATATGTAAGTATTCCTGAATTATTTATTATTTAGCTTTTGTGGTTTTTGAATTTTATGAATATTGGCATAAGTTTTGTGTGACTTTTTTTCCTGCTCAACATTATATTTCTAGGATTCATCTATATTATTAAATGTTGCTATAGTTTGCTTGTTTTCCATCCTGTGTGTTCTTCCATCAAATGAATGTACCACAGTTTATTTAGCCATTCACCTGTGTGTGGACATTTAAGTTGTTTCCAGTTTAGAGATAATAGAAACAGTACCACCCTGATCTTTCTTGGTTTCTGCTTGTGTATGTGTGTAGGAGTTTCTGCAGGAACAAAATAGTGTCAAACTGTCTTCCAAAGTCATTGTACCAATTTACACTCTGTTTCTCCATAATCTAACATTGTGTATTATCAGATTTCTTAATTTTTACTGTCTCACAGGTATAAATTCTCATGTGATTTTAATGAACAATTTCTTGAATATTAATGAGGTTTATCTTCTCATGTATGTTGGCAATTCCTTTTCATTCTTTTATAAAATATGTTTTTCCATACCTCCTTTTTTATATAATTGGTATAATATCTTCTCAAAATTTTCTCAAAACTTTCTAAATTTATTAGAGTTAGTTTTGGTTTGGGGTTTTTTTCATAAATTATTTTGGTTGCATCCAGGGCAGATTTTTTTTTTTGGTTTATTTTATGTTTTGCCCTTTATGCTATAGTCTTTCCTCAACTATCTGATGATTCCTGGACAGTTCCTCATTTAAGAGTTAAGGAAGACTATCTGGGAGCATTTTGTATGTGGATAGGCTTGTTGACTGGAATACCCTGTTTTAGGATGGCTTGGTAGACAGCCAGATCTTAACTGGGGTCTTACAAATTCCAGAATTAAGAGGAGTTTGCTTTTGTCCACAGTGCTCATACCAACTATTTATTGTAATTCTCACACAGTTTATTTTATTCCTTTAGGGATGAACCATTTTGTTTTTTGTTTTTCTTTTGCTTAGAGGATAAATAAGTGGCCAGGGGCTTCCCTGGTAGTGCAGTGGTTGAGAGTCCGCCTGCCGATGCAGGGGACACGGGTTCATGCCCCAGTCCGGGAAGATCCCACATGCCGTGGAGCGGCTGGGCCCGTGAGCCATGGCCGCTGAGCCTGCGCGTCCCGGAGCCTGTGCTCCGCAACGGGAGAGGCCACAACAGTGAGAGGCCCGCGTACAGCAAAAAAACAACAACAAAAACCAAACAAACAAAAAAATAACTGGCCAATACTGGGGGGCTGGTGGCAGGGTTGACTCTTCTGTTCTTCAGCCTTTCAAATTATCTTTCTCATTTCAAACCTTCTTCTGACTGCTGCTGTTCACCATTGTTCCTGCCTTCTATGAATCTGAAGCCTCTGAACTGAAGAGGCTGAGCAAAACTTCTTGACTGTATCATAGGTTGTAGCTTCCTTCTTTCTGTTTCTTGTGACAATACTCTTCTATATGGAAAATGCTTTACAGGAGTTTCTTGAAGTCTTTCATCAGCTCAAGGCCTTTTTCTGTTCTCTTCCTTGTTATGAGTTTATACATTTTAAAACAGTTCTTTTTAATGTTTTAATGAGGTTTCTGGGCAGGCATATGAAAAGCAGTCTGTTAACTTGATTTAGAATTCCAGATTTTTATTGTAAAAGCTGAGAAGAGAAGAATGCAATGCTTGACCAATGGAATGTCTTTTTCATGAGACACGTGGGTGAGAGAGATATTTTTTGTTGGAGGACCTTTTTTGTTGTGGTTGTCATAATGTGATTCAGATTTTGGAGCAAGTTTTTTAATCTTCAGGCTGCTCCATGATAAAACTCTGGGACACCATTTGCTCTGGAATCTATGCTGCTAGGACCCCTCAGGATCTACACATAGAACATCTATTTCTAATCTAGAGGCAATAACATCTGTCAAGATCATTGAGGGGATTAAAACATCACTTGTAAAGAACCTAGCACAGAAACAAAAATTGATTAGTTAAGTAACATTATAGTGCTGTCTGTTATCTGGTTTAATTTTTATACTATTAATAGAGCCCTTGATTATTTAAAGTTTCTGGTTGGTATCCTTATTTCCTTTTTCCTGACTCCCCTCACTCTGAAAAAGGAAACTCTGTGGGTTATTCAAGCTTTAGGTAAAGAGAAGAGCCTTACTGATATGAATATGCAATAACGAACTTCCTCTAAACTCTTAGAACTGTCAGACATCCTTGTAGAGGGAATGTTCTGTCTTTCCTTTATATGCCATTGAAAATCTTTGATTTTGATTTAGAGCTGCAATATAAATTCATGATTGGGTGGTTTTTCCTCTTTGATATTGTCTTGAAATTTTTTAACGTTTTTTTTTAACTGTAAAGTGTACAGATCGGCATTTTCCTCCAAGTTATATTAGTTATCATGTTTAAGGTCAGAAAACACTGGCTTAAGGTCTAGTTGATCTATCAAAAACTTCTCTCCTTTTCTAGGTTATCTTGGAAGATCTAGGACTCCAAAAATGTTTCCCTTGAAGGATGCTGAAATGGGTGCCTTTACCTTCTTTGCCTCTGCTCTGCCACATGATGTTTGTGGGAGCAATGGGCTTCCTCTCACACCAAATTCCATCAAAATTTTAGGGCGCTTTCAAATCCTTAAGACCATCACGCACCCCAGACTGTGCCAGTATGTGGATATTTCTCGGGGAAAGCATGGTAAGTTGCTGTTGTTGTCTCCTATTTTGTGTTCTCTACCCTGTTACCCTGGTTAGGTTATAATATACATTGTAAACATATAAAGTAATCAGTATGTGTGTGTACAAGTGCCTTAACCTTTCACTCTAGCCAAACTGCATAATTTGAGTTTTCCTTACTACATTTGAATGATTCATATTTCCTAGATCTCAGAATCAAGATTTTTAATTTTCCCTTTCAGGGAAGCCACCTATTCTCAAGCATTTCTTCACCTCTCTAAGAAGGAAATGAAAGTTCTAAAGTTAGAAACTTTAGAATTGTTTATGAGAGTGTATTTTATGATTGAAAGTAATAATTTGGGTTAAGTTTCTTCAAATGAAAAGAGAGTCACTAATTTTTTTACCTCTTTGGAGCTGCATTAGTCTTTTCATACAGGATTTCATTTGGAAAAGTTGAACTGTATTGGTTAAAAAGTCAGTGTTTCACCGGGAAGATGTTTACTGCCTTTTTTTCTTCCGTAGCCTGTATCTTAGTCCATTCTGGCTGCTAAAATAAGACACCATAAACCGAGTGGCTTATAAACAAGAAAGGTTTATTTCTCACAGTTCTGGAGATTAAGGCACCAGCAGATTCCACGTCTGGTGAGGCCCGCTTCTTCATTGACAGCCATCTTCTCACTGTAACCTCACATGGTGGGAGCGGGAAGGGTGTTCTCTCAGGCCTCTTTTGTAAGATCACACCTCCCAAAGCCCCACCCCCAAACACCATCACACTGAGGATTAGGTGTCAACATATGGATGTGGGCGGGGGGGACACAAATGTTCAATCTGTAGCACCCCTTGAAGGTGCTTATGTTAGCAATATTTTAATTATTTTAAAATTATTTTTGAAAGCTTAATTGCATGCTGAGGTTCCATTTCTTAGAATTATTTTAAATGCATCTCACTGAAATATATTTAATTTTTCTAACAAAATGATTTATGAAAGTTAACCCTATATACTTGCTGATATTACCCTGTTTTTATTCCTACAAAAATGGCATTTTCACGTGTTTCAACCTAACATTAATAAAGACGCTCAAAAAATGCAAACTGTATTTCCTTTATTGTTTTGCTGAAAAACAGGCTAAATGATACTTTCAAGGTTATGCCTCTTAAAAAATACTTGCTCTGAAAGTTTTCTAGACTGAGTAGAAAATGTTTTTTGTAATAAATATTATTGATGGCTAATATTTATTGAGTGTTTATTATATATTAGGCAGTATTCTAAGCTTTACATATTTTAATTAACTTAATGCTTACAACCTTACCATGAGGTAGAAACAGATAAGGAAGTTGAGGCACAAAGCAATTAAGTAACTTCTGGCAAGTTTGTTGTTTAAAAACAAGCTAACAAAAAACCTTTTGCTAACGTTTTTATTTGATAAATGACTTCAATGACGTTAACTAAATTATAGAACTCATTTGGGGCTTTTTATATAATCGAGTACTTGATAGATATGGTCAATCCCTGAATGCCTCAAACACCACCCTGCCAATCCAATTACAAATACTAAAGAATTTCCGCTTGTGGGGTTGACCTAGTTCCAAAATCACTCCAAACTTAGCAATATAGTGGACCCTCATTATCGTCTGTAGCGAGTAACCATAATTAGTATTGCTGTTTTACATCTGCAAATTTGGAGTATGCCTGTCTTCCCAAAGTCTTGCCACTTTACTCAGTTCTTAGGACTTCTTCATCCTTGTATCCTGAAGTGCCCTTTATTTCTTCCCACTGTGTCTGGAAGCCTGTTTGGAGCATCACTTCATATGACTGCAGTCTTGCCTCTGTCCAGTTTTCCCTAGGCTTTCTTTTCATGGGATAATTGACTCAGTAGTCCTAGATACTTCTTGAGCTCCTTCTTTTCATCCCACTATCTAAATGAGGCCCTGTAAACACTAAACTAGGAAAAACCTTATGACATTATCCCTTTGGGGAACACAACTGCTAACTGCCCAGGAACCATCTTTTTAGTTATAAATGTGAGATAGGAACTAATCTCCTTAGACACTGTTAGACTCTCTTAATGTAGAACCCAGCTCAACATCTAGGTAGTCTCTTTAGGCCCATCCACCATATTGCTGGTTACTCTGTTTCCCCTGCTTTCCCTGCTCCTGGATCTCAGCAGCCCTTTCTTCTAGGGACACACAGGTCATGGATGTGTGTAAAATTCATATATTTTAAGTTTGGCTGCCTGGAATGAAAATATCAGTGATTGTCAAAAGGTTAGGGAATTTGATTATTTTTTAACTATTGGCAATGTTCATTGTCCTGAAAAGTTGTATGCCTCATAAGGTGTAAATAAATTAGAATAAGTGTCGACGTGAAGGTCTTTTTGTTCCAAAACATCCCAGTCATTTCAGTTGAATTTAGTTTGAAAAGTTTGAAAAGGCTCTACTCAACAGTCTCCTTAGTGAACAACACATATTTCTCGATGATTTAATACCACATGATTTTGGTTTGGACTCCACTTAATTGTCTCCTCAAAGAATTTTGATTTTGGTTCCTTTCCCCCCTTTATTCTGTTCTTACTATACAGATATCTCACAATTTGTCATTGTTAGTCCCCCACCTCCCCACCTTTCGCTTTTTACTTGGAGTAATATGTGACATGTGGTCTGTTTTACTAACATTATGTTTTTACATGTTAGGTTAGTTCAGAAGTCAGGCTCTCAGTGTTTCCTATGGATCATTCAAAACTGATTCAAGATGATGTTAGTTTCTTGCTAGCTCAGCAGAATAATGTATTTCAACTCAAGAATAGTGTACATTAGAATTTGTGCACTTGATTTATTAAAGAGAAGTTGAGTAAAATATCTTTAAAAGAAAAAAGCCAATAAAGCATGAAAATACTTAAGTTAACTTAATCTTTTTCTTTTGAACTTGAAATCTCAGCAGTTTTAGAAGCAGAATAAGGATTATAAATGGTAATACATTCCATTTTATTTGGTATTGGTTACCCAGAAATCTTTTGTTTATTGCTGGGAAAATCAAGAACAAAATTATTTTAACTAATAGATTTGAAATTTAGGTAGAGAATAATAGAATTGTTAAGAACCTATAAAATAATGTATTCTATATCTCTAGCTGCATATATATTTCAACCTAAGTGTCTATATCAGTTTAGAGTTCCATCAAAGAAACAAAACCAGTAGGAGATAGATAGCTAGATAGCTACACAGATATAGATTAATTGCTTGGAATTGGTTTATGTGATTTGGGGGTTGGGTAGACTCATCTGAAATCCATAGGGCAGGTCATCAAGGACAAGCTGAAATTTTAGACAACAGCTGAAGTCACAGTCCAAGTGTGGAGTTTCTTCTCCAGAGAAGAGTCTATTCTGCTCTTAAGGCCTTTACAACTGATTGAATCAGGATCACCCAGATTATCTAGGATAATCTTCCTTACTTAAAGTAAACTAATTGTAGATTTAATTTATTAAATGCCTTCACAGTAACACCTAGATTAGTGTTTTAATAACTGGAGACTATAGCCTAGCCGTGTTGACTCGTAAAACTGACAATCACAGTAACCTAGTAACAATACTGTTTTTTAAGCACAGAATTTTTCTTTATCAGTTTTACTGTATAAATATTTATTTATTCTCTTTAAAAGGTAATGAGCTAGTCTCAGTTTTTAATGTGAATAACAAAAGAATGATGCAGTAACTATATTCTAATAACCTTTCATGTTTTAACGCATTTACAATTTACCTCTTTCTTTAAGTTAAAAAAGTTTCTTTTAATCTTTCAGTCTGTTTTAGTCCCTCTTTTTATTCAACTACTTTATTATCTGTCTTGCTTAATACTGTACTCTCTTCCATTTCTTAGCATTGACTTAAAACATACAGTTCAAACTGTATGTACACTACAGTTATACTTGGCATTCAACTATTTGTTAGAAGAAAGATTATTTCACGGTTCTTGTATGTTCTACTCTTTAAAGCTCATCTTGGTGTCACATTTGTTTTTTATAAATAATGCCACTACATTGCTGACTTATATTTGGCACATTATGATTCTCAAATATTTCTGTCATATTTTATTCTGTGAAATATATTATTTTATAACAAACAGAAGTTATTTTCAAATAGTGGCCGTGAGTTTCAGAATGAAGACTCTCTAACGATATTTTGAAAAAACTGGTTCATATTGGAAGCATTGTTTTGGTATACACTCTATTACCTCTGGGAGAATCTTTGATATTCTGCCAAGGATTATGGTTCTGCTGTCTTACAGTAATATTTTAAAGGTCCGTAATATCCTAAAGCTTTGGCAAACTCTGGCTTATGATATTTTGAAGGAGTTTCCTGAAGAAGCCTGATATTTTTTTTTTTCCCTAAATCATTTTAAGCCTGACAAACTTTAGGCTAATGCCAGACACTTTGAAAATCCTTCATAGATATGGAGACTTATGAATATATAATTAAAAATTATTCATTAATGGGGTATGCACATTTTAACATATTCTGATGGTTTTGTTTTACATTAAAATCAGTACTATTGTGGTGTTATTATGCCTAGTTTACAACATAGGCATATACTTTCTTGTGCAGGACACACTTCTGTTTAGACAATGACTGTCATTATGTGAGACTCATTCATTTCTAATGGCTACATTGAGCCTTTGCTCAAGTTAACTCATTTAACAAGTATTTTTTAATTAGTTGCTTATATGTTTGAGGTATAATTCTAGACACTGGGGATGCATTTTAAACAAGACCAATATCCTTCCTGCCATCATGAAATGCATTATCTAGTAGAGAACAAAGGCATTAGATAAAAATGTATACAGATCTTTAGGAGTTGAAATAAGTGCTACAGAAGAAAAGTACATTGTGGAATAGATTATATGATAGGAGGAGCAAATTGATTTGGGAGGACCAGGAAAGTGTTCCTGGAGGAAATCATATTTAACTGAGTAATGAATAATAATAATAGCTAACTCTTAGGGCTTCTTATGTGCCAGGTTCTTATTATGTATTAACTCATTTCAACCTCACAACAGCTCTATGAGGTAGGTACTGTTGTTTTACGGAAGAGGAAACCTTGGCATAGAGAGGTTAGCAAACTCCCCCAAGGTCACATAACTAATGAGTATTAAACCTAAAATTTGAGCCCCGACAGAATAGTTTGTGCTCTTAACCACTATGTTTCATGATAGGAGTTAACTGGGAGGAGGAACAAGGAAGATCATTTTAGGCAATGGGAATCCATGTGCTAGTATTTTAAGGTAGGAAAGGGGAAGGAAGACCAGTGTAACTGGAAGTTGGTGAGTGACAGACAAAATAACAAAAAATAAAGCTAGACAGGGAGTTAACGTATTCAGATTTATTAATTATTATATTATCACTTAGGTTTTAATATGAAAATATGTTGGAGGGGGAATAAGAATTAATATGAGAAGATTAGTTAAGAGATTGTTGTAGTAATCTAATGAGGGATGATGTTGGATTGGGCCCAGATTGTGGCAGATGGAGCAAACTTTACAGATTCTGGAAACATTTGGGAAATAGAAAGAGCAGGGCTTTTTCTTTGGATTTGAGAAAGGGAGATTACTCCTAAATTTGTAGCTGGAGCAGCTGGCAGGATAGTGGTACCATTTACTGAAACAGTACTAAAGGGAAAGGCTTAAGGAGCAAAATAGAAATTCAGTTTGAGTCCTGTTGTGTTTGAGGTAACTTTTATATTAAAGTGAGAAACTGGCTATAAAAGCCTGGAGTTCAGAAGAGAGTTCTGGGCTTGAGATAAAATTTAAGAGTCTTTCAACCTTGGAAGTAAATAAGGAGAAAACACAGTCTGAAGACCCAGAATCAAAGGTGGAGGCACTAGAAGCATTTAAATTTGGGTAGAAGAGGTACCAGTCTACAGAGGAGACTGAGGAGAGGTAGCCAGATAGGTGTAAGGAAAATTGACAAAATGTGGTAAGAGGGAAAGCAAAGGAATGCTGCTTCCCATTTTGGTTTTCTGACAGTATTATTTACTTTTTCCTTCTAGAACTTCACAGTTGTGCTAAATTGCTTGGAGTTCAACTTTGCATGCTGTTTTCTTTATTGAATTGAAGAACTAGAACTTTTATCTCAACTTTCTTTCCTATTTTATTCCTTTGTTTCCCCTCATTAAATGTTCTTTCAAATTTAATTTTCTTTAAGTTCCTGTTTAGATCACTTGGAGTTTTTTTCTGAAAGTGATAGTTTTCATTTATAGTTTTAAAATTTTGTGTTTCAGATCATTCTATATAATGCCACCACCTCAGTTTGAGCTTCCAAGATGTGACCCATACAATATCCTGCCCTCACACCTCACATGATTGCCTGTGTACCATTGTCCTTCATCTCTCCTCCCAGCAGGCAAGACCATACCTTGAATCAGTCCTTCCCATCTTCTACTCTCATTTTTCTACCTTTGCCGTTTTTCATTTTCACCAAACCTCCTTGCAGTTATCACTATTTCTGGTCCCTTTTCACCTTTACTTCTTTATCTGGTCTTAGCTTGCCATCTGTATTATGTGTTTACCTTCTTCCTTTTTTAGAACTCATTTTGCATAGATATTCATAGTACCCCGGTTTCTTTCTCCTGAAATAACCTTATCAAATCTCCAACCACTTGTGAGCCCAGTTGTGCTTTTCTCTCACTCCTCTTACATTCTTTCATCTAAAAAGGAAAAGAGTTTGTTGATCTGCTGCTGTGTCAGACAACGTGTTAGTCACTAGGTACCTGATGATTACATTAAAAATGTATAGACCTTCAAAACTGTGCTGTCTTATTCTTAAACAGTTGATCTGTTGGAAAATAAAAATTACATCATGATATAGATTGTGCCCACCCAGATTTTATATTATTACTAATCTCAGCAATCCCCATGATGTTACAAGTAACCCCAAGCTGATTTTCTGTTCTTTCTCCATAGTCATGATTCAGAACATTTCTACTTTTCTCAAATTTCTGAACTCAGTTTCAAAAACCTTATATTTGAACCAGACCGTCAAGACAATTTGTCCCTAGCTCCCAATTTCCCCTTCACTTCAAAATTTCTTTATATCTTCATCCAAGCTTTTTCTTCTCCTAGTCTGTGTCAGAAGAAGGATTACTTCTTTTTGCCAAAGGTAAACTTTTCCAGCTGTTTTTCCTGATGCACATGGGAGAAATTCTAGAGAAAAACACAAGATGAAAAGAAATTTTTATTTAATGTGTTGTTTTATTACACATTTATCCTGTTATTCTACATATTTGATTTTTATGTAGTTAATGTAGACTTTGAAAAGCTCTTTTAAAATATCATTTGTACTATATGTTAATAACTTTAGTGGGGTATATTATTTTGTTATTAAAACATTGTGTTAATCAAATATCAAGTGGAGTTGGTGTTTTTTTTTACTCAGAGAGACTGGTGGTGGTGGCTGAACACTGTGAACAGAGTCTAGAAGACTTGCTTCGAGAAGGGAAACCCGTGAGGTACTGTATAATATCAGGACAATTACATGAAAAGCAGAAATTGGCAAACAAAAGGCATTTTAACTAGAAACTACAGGATTTTAGTTTCTTCTGTTACTTGCTTAATGATAAAATCCAGGTGTAAATTTTCACTTTAGGAAATTTAATTCACAGGCCTCATAGAAATTCAACATTGACATTATCCAGTGTTCAGCTTTTGTGAGGTAAGCATTCTGAAAAGTACTTGACAAAAAATTACTAAAGAGGATATACAGGAAAATTTGAAATCTTTTTAGTACCAAGCGTTTCTCTAGCTGAGTTTTAAGAGTATTTCCTGAGAGAAGTACATGGTAACTTCTCACAGGGCACTGGTATTCTTAGGGACATAGGACATAGTGAACTGTGTAGAAGGCTAGATTGAAGAATAGAGAGAAATAATAATCATGGCTTGGGTGGAATATAATCATACAGTTTAAATTCAGTTATTTCAGGGGCTTCCCTGGTGGTGCAGTGGTTGAGAGTCTGCTTGCTGATGCAGGGGACATGGGTTCGTGCCCCGGTCCTGGAGGGTCCCACATGCCGCGGAGCGGCTAGGCCCGTGAGCCATGGCCGCTGAGCCTGCGGGTGTGGAGCCTGTGTTCCGCAACCAGAGAGGCCACAACAGTGAGAGGCCCGCGTATCGCAAAAAAAAAAAAAAAAAAAAAGTAAAAATTCAGTTATTTCAGTGACACATGAAATTTACTATCTGAGGCATTTTTGGCAAGAAAAGTGGTCTAAACTTTCTTACAAATATACTATTAAATGAGCTTCTTAACAGATTTTCAGAAATTATCTTAAAGTTATGAAAAATGTTTCTTTAATGAATTAAGTTGTACTAAACCAATGAAAAATATTTGCCATGAGCCTTTATAGGATTGTAATTATCCATCCTAGATTAAAGAAATATTCTTATTCTTAGTCAATACTCTTTAATCATTGCTATATTATAGATGAAGATAAATCTTTTGCATGGGAGGAAAAATGTGTATCTTACTAAATGGTAGTAATTTAATAGCAGCAAAACAAATAAATTGAATAAAAGTACTTTCCTTGCTACTTTAAATGGTTTGGTTTTAAGTGGTCGCTGGAATGAAAGATGCAGATATCAAGTATCCAGTTGCGTCACTTGCTTTTTTAGAAAAGTCTAAATCTGACCATGGTGATAAAAGTGACTTTTCTATATATTTAACCTAACTTAGTAAATATGTTTTTATAGGTATAATTTTTGCATGTCACAAATCTTTAATTGTATTTTTTTAAGAACATATTACTCTTTGCCCACCAGTTTAAATTTACACTTTAATTTATAGGCCACCAATGCAAAAAAAAAGAAAAAGTTCTCTGTGAAAGCTAGTTCACATTAAAATTGAAAACCAATTGTAGTCATGTCTTTAGGAATTTTAACTGAGTTTGGGTTAAATTTGTATAAAGATTTACAATGCAATATGTATGATGAAAAAGCCACTAACTAGCTAGGCAGCCTTGGACCGGTCTCTTAATCATTTTCCATATCTGTAGAACAAGGAGTTTTACTTGAACTAGGGATCATTCTAGAGGAAGTTATTGTCAACTTTATATTTTATTTAATATGAATTACATGTGATAATATATTAATCAATTGCCTTTATAAGCATATGTTTTCTTATACTAATATATTATACTAGTATATTAACCTACTATTCCCCATTACTTAAATGGTAGATTTTTTTGACAGAAGAACCCATGACAAGTCTAAGTGTAAAATTCAGTGCTATAATATTAAAGGCAAGTTGTTTTAGAAACGTCTATTTTATGATCCAGGAATCCTCGTCCTAGGTAGAGGATCTCCTTAAATTTGTGCCCAAGAGGTACATCATTTGCCTCCCTGTAGTCCCAGCCCTGCTTTGGCATTTAATTAAGAGAAATGAAAAATGCATGCCCACCAAAATATTTGCACAAGAATGTTCCCAGAAACTTTATTCATAGTAGCCCCAAACTGGGAAGAACTCAAGTGTCCATCAATGGGAGAATGGGTAAGCAGATTGTGGTATATTAATCAACAATAAAACGGAATAAACTACTGATACAACAACATGATGAACCTTAGAAATATTATGCTGAGCAAAAGAAGCCAGACACAAAAATCATATTCTTCCATTTATATGAAGTTCTAGAACAATCAAAACTCATCTACAGTGATAGATATAAAAATAGTGCTTGACTCTGGTTGGGAAGAGGGCAATACAAGTACTGATTCAAAATAGCCTTGACCGAACTATCTGGGGAATGGAAATTTTTACATCTTGATTAGGGTATTACTTATGGTGCATGTTCTTGCAAAACTTGTCAAAATTCACTGACGTGTACACTTAAGAGTGTGCATTTTGCCTATGTAAGTTATACCTCAAAAAATTTTTTAAAGCCTGTTGAGTTATTTACTTGGCTTGAGTTGTGAGTCTCTCATATAGCAACAATGTTATGTTGTTAATGAAGATGCTTCATCCAGTGGCATACTTGTTTGTATTTCTTTGTTTCTATAAGAAGAAATAGTATGAATTAGTTATTGCTGCTTAACAAATTACCTCAACACTTAGCAGCTTAAAACAATAATAAACATTTATTAATTTATACAATTTCCCTGGGTCAGGAATTCAAGAACATTTAGCTGGGTGGTTTTAGCTCAGGATCTCATGACATTGCAGTATATCAGCTGGGGCTGTAGTCTTCTGAAAGCTTGACTGGGGATTCAGTCAACTGTTTCTAAGTTAGCTCACTCATTTGGTGCCAGTTGTTGACAGGGGGTTTATTTCCTCCCTACCTTGAGGGCCTTTCCATAGACCTCTTGATTATTCTCACAATATGGTGGTTGGCTTCTCAGAGTGGGTGAGTGAGCAATCTAAGAGATGAGAGAAAGCAAGGTGGAAGCGGCAATGCCTTTTATGACCTCTCCCGAGGAGCCACACATTGCTATAGCTCATTGGATACAGAGGTCAGCCATTAATTCTATTCAGTGTGGGAGAGGATGACACAAGAATGTGAATCCCAGGAGTCAGGGGGCATTGGAGCATCTTAGAGTCTGGCTGTCACAGAAGTCTTGGAGATCATACAAGTACTCAAAAAAAAAAAAAAAAAGGGAGAAGGTAGGAATGAAATACTAAATCAACATTAACACTAACTGGAAAATAAAGTTCCTAAAATTATTCAATACTCATTAGGGGACTTGGGACAGAAAAAAGGAAGAAGTTCACCCTATGAAGAGGACAGATTATTAAGGGAATATCCAGAAGTATCAGAGGACATAGCTATGCTATGATTGGAATTGCTCTACATCATGTAAATTGATGTTACCCATGGTCTTGTGCTCCCAGCCATTCCAGAGGACTTTATAAGCCACAAGTAGAGTAGGTCTTGTCATCAGGGTGGTAGTAATTGTAGGATGTTCCTTCTGATCTCCACATTTCCCTCTTTGCCCATATCTGTCCTTCCTTTACTTACTGAAGAGAACTAAAGGAGAGAGAAGCTGGTGACTCAGAAGACAAATTTCCATTTTCATCATTTTACCTCACTCTACCCTTTTACTTTATTTACTTTTGATTGTACTATATAAGGGTATAATGCCATTGCTTTGTCAATAAGATTAAATCCATTAGCTCATGAAAAGTTTTACTTTTCTGTGCTTGTCATCATTTATCGTTGTTTTAGAGATAATAAATCTCATAGCAATGGATACCAGTAGCCTCAACAGTGTAAAGGTATAAAGAAGCCACCTTTCTTCAGTGCCCTTATATATGTCTTCATGAGGATAAAATGTTATAGATGGAAGCATATTCTTTGAGTAGGTAGCAGAATATCAATAGGATTAAATGCCGATTTCATACTGTCTTTCATGACATTCACATGGTCTTTTTCATTTATTTAAATAAGAATGTATGGTAGTCTTATGGGTCTTTGTAATTTCTTCAAGTGAGATATTTTTAAACATTTTTGTAAAGTATTGTTTTTAATCATTCTGGTAATAGATTAACATTCAATATTTTCCTTGTTCATTTTGGGATATAACATTCAGCACTTACTGCCTTTGAGTAGAAATGATTCTGTCAGGTTCAGTTCCAAGTTGTTATCTGATCCATCCATCTAAATTAGCTTTGTTGAAAACTATTTGACTTTCCACATATTTGGATTACATTAGTCTCCAATAACAGAGCAGGTTTCATGTGCAGAGTTGATGTGCTGCAGTTTTAATTAATTCTATAATCTATTTATGGAAAGTGAGAAGATGTTCTTATGGTTTATAAATCAGTTCTTTCCCCTACTGCCAAAAGTAAGCACCCTGCACCTGTAAGAAAGGCTGATGCAAAGTAAACAGGAAATCTATTTAGATGGGATTGCTGTTTGAGATCCATGATTTTTACTTGTACATCTGTCTCTAACTGTTGCAAAACTGTAAGCTGCCAGTTGTCTGGTAGTTATTTGCAGTTCATTGTCCAAACTTAAGCATCATTTAAGGCATATATCTTACTGGATTTATATTTTGAAGAAAATTTTGCGTCTTCTGTAAAATTGGTGGAATGAGGGATAGAGGAATGAAAACTAGAAACTTAGAGAAGAGTCTTGTATCAGTTTACTCACTAACTTTTTTCATGATAAATTTAATATCACTTAACTAAGCAATGTTGTACTAAAACATTATGGTAGTAATTCGTATTACAAATGTATTGTAACTCAAGACTATCTTGAGGTTTCAGATCTCACTAGAAAATTAAGTGTTCTTTCTTGTTATAATTTTAATAGCCATAAAACCCTTTTGAGAATTCATGTTATCCAAACCAAAAATAATAATTTTATGCTATGACCTGGAGCTTATAATTGAGTCAGTCTTTTATGAAATAATGTTATTTGTGAGGGTAGTTTGCTAACCTGGTTTGAAAGAAAACTCATTTTCTTTAGAGTCTATTCAAGCTTGAATATGAGGAATTAATTTTGGAGAAAGCTTCTCTCTTTTC